AATTTAGTTTATACAATTTAGTGTATAATCAAACAAAGCATGTTAATAAATTAAAATGAAGTGCTTGCTAGAGAGAGAGAGAGAGAGAGAGTGAGAGAGAGAGAGATAACGAAGAAATTATCATAAATTTCATTTAAAACTTCCATAAATGTGTCGAAACATTACAATAGTTTATTAAAAACAAGCGTTTTTACCCAAATGTATAATATTTTATGCTAATTAAAAGTGGCAGTTTATATTAATTATAAATACCATCGTTGAGTTAAATACAATTGCTAGATGTAGTGAAGGTGATATAAATTAAATAAAAACAAAAGGGCCGACGGGTATCATAAGATAAGGATCATAACATAAAACAAAAGGTCTGATTTACTATGGTCACTCTAGCAAGCACTTCATTTTAATTTATTAACATGCTTTGTTTGATTATACACTAAATTGTATAAACTAAATTCTCATGCTTATTATACTATGGTTTAGTTAAACTCTAGATTTAATACACCTAACTATTAATTAAATGCATAACAACCTATGATTTAACGCTTCAAACGGTTAAAACATTGTATTAAATGTTGTCTAAAGTGTTTATGAGTATATTTTTAAGAATATTACTTGTACAATTATGTTATTAATAAACACGAAATATACCAATATCTAATAACGCTAATAATAAAACTAATATTTTGTTATTTAATACAATTTAATTTTATAACATTTTATAACAATTACAAGATAATTTTATAACTTTTTTATGCACATTTAAAAGTAATTACAAACAACTACTGTATATATGTTTATCTTATTTGAAAGTAAAATTTGCATAGTTTTTAATAAATTAAATATTACTTAAGAATTTTTAAAAAGTTATTTCAGTAGTTATAAAGTTTGAATAATAACTGTGGAAATATTGTAAAATTTATTTTGTTTTTATAATAAAAGCCATTGAAATAAATTATTTAATTGACTTTTACTTTTTATTAATAAATATTTGCCATTTAATCGAAAATTTCTTGAAATTAAAAGCAATTTCCAAACAATTTGTCAAAACATTTATAATTACATTAAAAAACAAATATTTAAATGGGTTGTATCAAATATTGAAATTAAAAGTTTATTAATGTAAATAACGCTTATTTTCAAAGCCATTAATTGCTAAATAAGCGCAGAAAACATAATTGATTAGCACTTTAATTAACAAATCCATCAAATTTATGTCAAACTTATATCTAATTGTTCATTCATTTAGCATTTCAATCAATATAAGTCAATAGAGTTGTTAGAATTACAAAAAACAAAGTTATTGTGTATTGAAATATGTAGTTAATTATACAGTGTAACCCCTTTATAGGAATAACCCCTTTATAGCAAACAATTTGGAAAAGAATTGATTTCAACTTATCAAACTTTTGTCCTGCAACTGCCCGTTTCCTATGTAGAAGTTGCTCTGCAATAAAATTTAATAAAGATGATTGGTAAAATATTTAATCCCTGGTTATAACCAAAATAATTTGCACTTATGTAATATTTTTTGTAAAGACAATTAGACTCTATTTAAATATATATAAAGTATTTATATATTAATTAACTTTCGTCAATTAATTAATTGTCCAGGTTATTTAGTCCAAGGTTTAATACATATGACTCGTATACCCTTACAGCGCTTCAATTGTAATGTTTGTTATATAATATAAAATTAAACTTAAATTATAATTATAAATCATGTTTTCCAATAATTAAGTGTTTTTATAGTATTGATAAGTAATAAAACTTATATCAGACTTATTGAGCCTAAAACACAATAATAACAAATTGTTATATAAATTATAATTATACACAAAAATACTCCTAATAAGTGGTGTAATCTTATATTATAAAAATATAATGTGTTTCTATTAAATAACACAGAATTACACAAAATTTTTACCCAAAAAACCAGAAATTGTTTTTTATTTAACGCCTGAAGACCTAACAGAAAGTGAAAACAAAAATGTTTTCCCAAATTAATCATTAATTAGTGTAAAATATTTAACTGTATTTTCGCACAGAAATACAAATATTCCGACAAAACATTGTTATTAATCTCATTGCTATTAAATGTGTAACAAAATTGACGGAAAATTTGTTTTAATTAATTTATTAAACGTGTTAATAAAAAGTCACCACCTTATTATTATTTATAATACAATATTATGGTGATTTTAGCATAATGTTTATGTTGTCAAACCAGATTAAACCTAATACTAGTATAGTTTTAAAACCAATTTGTTATGAATATAAAAATGTACTTTATTTTATTATTGGTTACTAAACTATTAGCATTAAGCTGTAAATATCTCATATAAGTTATCATTTATATTGGTACTATATACCATTATGGTACTGTAACAAAATCATAATCCATAGTCAATGTTAGCGCGTGTTATACACAAGCAATGAATGTATCACTTGTTTAGGTATTGTTTGCATTCATTTGTATTGTTGTTGTGTTTAGACATCACTTAACTCTCAATCCGTTAATTGTTTGTCATATCCTTTGAATACTGTTTTATTTGACACAAAACTTATCCACAAAATAGTCTTTCAATCAAAATGAGTGCCAAAACCGATGATAAAAGTGAAGACATTTGTGTCAAAGTCTTTATGAATCCAAAACTAGTGACAAAGATCTTCTCATATCTGACTATCGATGAGTTGATACCTCTGGAGAGAGTCTGCAAACACTTCCAGTCGTGCGCCGAGTATTGGTTACGAAAGCAGAAGAGCATTGCATTCAACACTTATAGCGCAGACCATCGCTACAAACCTATGGATCATTTCATTTACAATTCTTATACATATCCTCGACATCTTCTGGAGAGCAATTTGAGCGGACAGTTCTCTCTCATGACAAACAAACGACTGATCCAATCGTTGGCCAAGAAGTTGCCAAACATTGAGTATTTGGCGATCAGTCACTTTGAGACCAGTTTCCAGATGTTATACGATATTCTCGCGGCGTTTCAATCAGTCAAATGGCTATCAATTTGTGGTTTATATGGTTGTACTCAACAACAGTACCAACAATTGGGACAACTATTGTCGGCCAGAGTGACCACATTTGTGGCCAATCCGAGTTCCAAAGGTAGAGCCAATGGTGTGGTGGAAATGATCGCACAGTTAACCGAATTAACACATCTATTCGTTTCAATGGATAGGAATGCCATCACTGTCTCCGAGTTATTGCATGGTTTGCCGCAAACAATCAAATCTTTGCAAATTAACAGTTGTTTTGACGAGCATTTGGTGCAGACATTGGTTGAAAGCAATGCTAAACAATTGGATTCACTTTTTATTAACTGTTCGTCCGGAGTATCACTCGACCCGATCATTGATTGCATGGCATTGAAAGCATTGACATATGATTTGAAAGGAGAGAATGAATGGCAATGTCTTCAAAGTGTGGCCCAAAAGCAAACACATCTCACTTATCTTCGTCTCAATTGGCAAAGTTTTGGTGATTTCGTTGTCACTGAAAATGCGATACAATTTTCAAATGTCAAAACACTTCATCTCTATTCATGTCATCCTCGAGAAGAAGCGTTTGAATCACTTATGAAATGCTTTCCAGAACTCAAGACACTTATCTTAAGGGAAACGTCCATCGCCTGTCATATCGAGGGCTCAACAAAGTGTTGGCTGTGTTTCCGACAAATGTATCATTTGGTGGCCAAACACACGACAATCAAAACACTGGGTCTTTATTTTGACGATTTAATTGAAAAGACAGCCGTTTTGTGCGAAGAACTCAATGTATTTTGCAATTTATCGGCCATTCATTTGGATTACTGTCGCCGCGAATATATTCCCTTCAAATACACAGACATTTGCCGTCAATTTGTCACTGATTTCATCGATGGCTACACAAGAGATCGACAGAAGTGGTACACAATCCGTGTCCATAAAGATGTGACACAAGACTTGTGTTCCGGACTTCAAATACCAAGAAATCTAAGAATTAGAAGAGATTTGTGTTAAATATGTTTTGTTTATAATATTTATACAAATTAACAATTGATTTATTTTATTTATTATACTTTAAAACTATAACTTAATGCTATTTCTAACGCTATTTTATTTATCAATTATATTTTCGCATTTATATTACTTTTTAAGCAAATTTTAAGCTATTTTAATGTATTTTTAAAAGCAACTAAATATATACTGTATGTATTTATATTAGCAATTTATAATTAAAGTAAAAATAAAATTAATTACAATTATATTAGTAATACTAATTAATAAATATGAAAACAATGCTATTCTATTTCTATGAGAACATTTGCTAACACACTATACAATAAAAATTAATAAATATAAATAGATTTAGTCACTTATTATTATATATTTCTGATGTTTTACATGTAATTATTTTTATTAAATTTTTAATAACAGTGTAATTCTTTACTCAATATATTTAATGTACTTAATAAATTATATTTAATTTTTAATTAAACAAATGATGTTTTTATTTATATAATAATTACTGCAATTAAAGTTTAAACTGTTTAGTCTAATCACATAATAATTGTCAATTACTAATTGATGTTTTCTATTGATTTAATATTATAACTGCTGTCAAACATATGGCAAAATAAGTAAAAGTCAATGTGCTTTGAAATATCATTTAAACTTTCATCTATTTTTGTAATAAATTTAATAGAAACAATATATAATTTATTTAATTATCTATTAACACATGGTTTGTTATATAATTACCATTGACAAAAAACAAATGCATTAAGCTGTTATAAAGCTTTATATCTCCTAATTGTGATCGTAAAATAGTATATAAATAGAGGGTCTACTCAATGCAACAATAGTTGTGATAAAATGTCTACAACTTATGATTTCACGGGTCGGGTGGCCCTCATCACGGGCTCGTCTTCGGGTATCGGTGCGGCCACTGCTCTACTATTGGCCAAAAGTGGAGCCAATGTTGTAATCACTGGACGTAATGCCGATAATGTGTCCAAAGTTTGTAAAGAGTGCACAGATGTGTCACCAAAAGGTCTGAAAGCACTTCCAGTGGTGGCAGACGTGACCAAAGAGGAAGATCTCGACCGACTTCTTGACACTACTATTAAAACATTTGGCAAATTAGATATTTTGGTGAATAACGTGGGTTTCGGACCATTGAGTTCAATAACTGATGATAATTATGTTGAAAATCACAGATCAGTAATTGAAACAAATCTAAATTCTGTGATATATTTAACTCATAAATCAATTAAACATTTGGAAAAAACTAAAGGAAATATAATTAATAACTCAAGTATTTGTGGTTTAATTGCAGTAAGTATTGACTTTTGTTCAAATTTTATGCTATGAAATATTTTTAATTAATAATTAACTTAATTGCTTATGAAATGACCAGGGCAAAAGATTTTCATCGTATTGCATGTCAAAGGCAGCGTTGGATATGTTCACAAAAGCTATTGCTGTGGAATTGGGCCCAAAAGGCATACGTGTTAATTCAGTCAAGTATTCATCTACATTATTTACATTTTAATATTTATCATGGTAATCACATATTAATTACACCATTTGTCAACTCTAGTCCGGGTTATATATACACCAACTTTTGTCAGACTAACTTTGAGATGACTGATTCCGAGGGCCGGGAACTTTGGGACAAACTCGGGGCCAATTATCCGGTGGGACGGGTGGGCGAGAGTTTGGATGTGGCCAATGCTGTGGCCTACTTGGCCAGTGACCAAGCTAGTTTTATTACTGGCACAAAGTTATACGTAGACGGCGGACATATTGCCTCCAATAGTCCACTTGATTTGTAATTATTATGATTGTTGTATAAGTAAAATAACATTCATCTAATTAATTAGTTATATTAATTAATATAAACTAATATTATAAATAGTTAATACATTTTAAAATAAAATAATAAAAATATTCCCGTGTAATTATTTGTAAAAAGGAGAGAGAGAGAGAGAGAGAGAGAGAGAGAGAGAATTTGTTTTTGCTATTTATTTACTCTATCAATGTTAATGATTACTAGACTTGATTACTATTTATTTATAATTATTACACTAAAAATCTAATTAAAAATTATAACTTTTAAACTAAAATTGTTTTTATAAATACAATATTAAATTAATATTTAATAAGTACATGAGTATTTTATTAATAAAATATTCCAACATTTAATTTGACATTAATTGAATAATAAAATTGTTATTATATTTTAGTATTTTTAAACTAAAACATTTAATACTTTAATTTTAACTATTAATATAATTTACAATGCTGAGTTGATCAAGTTTATAGTGTGGCGCTATTACCCCATTCTTACATTCTATAAACAAGTTCTAATAAAGTACAAATATTGTATAAATTATCAAGATTAAAATCATATTATGATTCTTATATTAAATATCTAAAACTTTTGCACTACAAGTTGAGTGCTGTAATTATAATTTAATATTAAAATTATGTAATTAATATTAAATCATTAAAAGCATTACATAAATTACCATGTGCCCACTGCACTGTAAATTGCTAGTAGAATATATTTCTAATAAATGTGAACTTGTTAATACTTTATGCATTATCCACACATCCCATGTGTACTTTATTTGCACTAAAATTAGTTATAAAAATGTGAGATATTTACTAATCTAGTTATATTAATATATTGTATTAGTAACTAATTAATAAATATCTGTCATTACTTATCTCAATAACATTTAATTTGTAAGTGATTATATTATCATACAGTGTATAAATACAATTATAAAGCTAAACATTTCAAACACTCATATGTTTGCGCCGTTTGTTGTAAACAATTGAAATAATTTTAGTTTTTATAAGACTTAATAAAATTACATTAAATTTGTAAAATGTCGGCGATATATGATTTTACTGGAAAAGTAGCTCTAATAACTGGTTCGAGTTCGGGCATCGGTGCGGCCACTGCTTTATTATTGGCCAAAAGTGGTGCCAATGTTGTGATCACTGGACGTATTGCTGAGAATGTGAACAAAATTTGTAAACAATGTACAGAAGTGTCACCAAAAGGTCTGAAAGCACTTCCAGTGGTGGCAGACGTGACCAAAGAGGAAGATGTCGACCGACTTCTCGACACTACTATTAAAACTTTTGGTAAATTAGATATTTTGGTGAATANGGATCCCGCGCTCCCATTACTGATGCCGATTATATTCCCAAATTAAAGGCAGTGTTTGACACAAACCTTAATTCTGTGATATATTTAACCCATAAATCAATTCAATATTTGGAGAAAACTAAAGGAAATATAATTAATATCTCGAGTATCGCTGGCATACAGTCTGTGAGTATTTTATTAAGTTACATTTAATATTTAAAAAAAATTAGTAAAATTTTTATATTTTTTAAAGACCAAATTCTATTATAAATTTTTTACAAATTATTATAAATTTTGTAATTTTAAATTAACCAAAATTAAACTAATTATTATTTTAATATCAATGACCAGGGTAAAGGGATGTCAGCATATTCTATGTCAAAGGCAGCGATGGATATGTTTGCCAAATGTATTGCCGTTGATTTGGGTCCAAAAGGCATACGTGTTAATTCAGTCAAGTATTTATTAATATTATTTTTAAATTATTAAATTGTAAACTAATCATGATAAATTTATTATCATGTTATAATAGTCCGGGCGCTGTTCGTACAAACATAATCAGAGAAGCATCGCTTAGTGATGAGCAAATCAATGCTATTTGGGATCGTATGGGCAGTCAATACCCGGTGGGTCGGTGTGGAGAGGGACTGGACATTGCAAACGCTGTTGCCTATCTGGCCAGTGATCAAGCTAGTTTTGTAACCGGTACAATATTGGTGGTCGATGGCGGTCATCTTGCTGCCAATGTTGGCATGGTTCCGGAATAAACTGGCTTGCTTCAATTAAATTTATTAATTAATGTTTTAACTTGATGAAATTGTTTTGAAAATGCTTAATTAAAATTATTCTAATAAAATAGGCGTTAAATTTTAAATGTATAATATTGGTTAATTTTTGTAAAGTTAGAAAAAATGATAGATGAGAGAGAGAGAGAGACCATTCGTATGATATTTAAATGTAAAGTCAATGCACACCAAAATCAATACCAAACCAATTGATGCCAACAACTGATATCTTCGTGCGTCCACTTTGTAGACACAGTTTGTGTATATAATGGACAGAGTATTGAACCTCTGGAGACCAGTCGTGTTGTGGCTATTATAGCGCTTACATAACACCTGACATTTAAAAAACACACCACATATATAACTCACTAATTCTGTGTAAAAATTTGTTAACTATCACTAGTTATAAAAAGTTACAAAAATACAATAATATTCTGTATCTATTGTAATAGAAATGAAACATCAAGTGCTCTACGCTATAATAATGACAATATTTTTAATGGCAACCATTAAATTAAGTGATGGTTCGGATCACTACTGGGGCCATAATCCATATAGGTATTAATCCATGTTATAATTTTAATTTACATTTATAAATTTGTAAATAGTTCGCTGGGATACTACAATCCGGTGCGTCCGGTGAATAGACCTCTGCCTAATCGGCGCAAATACCCGGGTCAGGGCGTTCGGCGCTTTCGACCATTCAGGTTTGGAAATTAATTTTATGCTTTTAATTATTTTATATTTGTTTATAGAAATTCATTGTATGGATAAAAAAAAGTTAAACAAATCAGCATTTATATGAATTGTAATACGAGGGAAGGGTTGCGAGTCATGGATGTATTGTTATCCGCAAAACACAACATTATATTTGTTAAAAACAGCTAAAAATTGTGTAAAAATGGTTATTATTTAAAATCATTGTCCATTATATTTTTATTTATACATGTATTTCGTTATATTTTTATTATTTCTATGGAATTAATAAATATTTATTTACTACAAAAATAAATGTAAAAACTATTTGATTATTCAAAGCAACAAAATTACAATAAAAATCGCATAAAAGAGAGCACAAAATGCACAAAAATCCTTCAACTTATACAAAGTGTGTGTTTTTGTTGTTTTATTTTTTTATGTACGACAAGCGACTGTCGACTGTCCCTAACATACCGGAGCCTTCATGAAAGACATCGATGTTTATAATTTATGCGATTATTTTGTGATATGTTTTTGTGTGAAAAGCAAATAGAGATTTCAAGTTCATTGATTAAAATAATTTTTTATAACCAAAAATATATTGAAAACTTTTCTGTATATTTTACTAACTTTTCAGTGGAAAGTGTTTATTATTTATAATAATTTAATACAAATAATACCCTATTCTTATATGTTATATAAAACATATTGAATGAAATATTTTGGAAAAGTATTTGTGATTTTCTAAAGAAATTCTTATGCAATTGAATATAATATAAATTATTTTGTCAATAATATTCATAATATTTTTAAATAATATTTTCCATTTATTTACAGAATGTAAATTTGATGCAAAAAATATTGAAATGTATTTTATTAATATTTATTTCAAGTTTTCCACAAAATAATTATACTTTTATACCTTCATTCAATGCTAATTTTATTTAATATAATTTACGGGTATATTAGGTGCACCATAGATTAACATAGCAACTTATCATGTGAAATAGTAGTGATAGTCTGGGACTAATATTCAATGTCTATAAATGACTATAATACATAATGTAATATTTTATTCATTATGTTCATTCATCTAAATTACAAAAATATAAATAATTAAAACGATGAGTTTTTTAAATTGTACAAAATAATTATTCGTTTGATTTATCATTAAATGACAATTTCAAAGATATATCAAATTCAATGTTTTCCAAGAGATGGTTAGATAAGTATAAATAGGATTCAAGTATTAATTTAGAAAATATATTTTTCCGATGAAACTATTATTTGGGAGTAAAAGTTGTATAACTTGTTATTGTGGACAACAAAATGCTTATCATTGAGATTTGCTTTCATTATTTTCCCCAATATTTTCGCTTTCATTGAGAAATGTTTCAAAA